GCCACCACCGCTCCCTGGGGTCCCCAGAGCAGGGATCGCCCCAGGGGAGCCCAGAGGGACCCCCCTCGTGAACCCCTTCCCTGCTGTCCCTGCCTCCCTGGCCACCTCGCTTCTCCCACCCCGCCGATCCTTCCCCTGCCCCGATGCACCCTGGCTTCACCCGCCGGCACCTCGCTTTTTGCAGGATTGGTCCAAAGCCAGTCCCTACGACCAGCCCGTGGTGAACACCCTGCAGAGGCGAAAGGACCGCGTGGAGCACCTGCGGGAAGCGGAGATGGCCTCGGCTGCCATGGGGTACCCAGGCATCAGTGTCGAAGAAGCTCCCAGGCCCCGGATGTCGCCAGCTACGATTGCTGCCAAGGTACCAGCTGCTGGGGATTGAGGGCCTGGGGGGTCAAGCACCAAGGCAAAGGGCTCTTCAGGGAGGACCATGTGGCTCTGAGACCTGGCCAATGCCACCATGGCAGCATGGCCAGCTCATCGGGGCACTGACGGGTGGCTCCTCTCCCCCCCATAGCACGGCGAGGAGGTGTCCCCTGCTGCCAGCGACCTGGCCATGGTCTTGACCCGGGGGCTGAGTCTGGAGCACCAGAAGAGCAGCCGGGACTCGCTGCAGTATTCCAGCGGCTACAGCACGCAGACAACCACCCCGTCCTGCTCTGAGGACACCATCCCTTCGCAAGGTAGCGGCGCTGCGGGCCTGCCTCATCCCCTGTGGGAAGGGGGACATGGAGTGGAGGCAGCCCAGTATTTCACCTGGAGGGTCAGCAGAAGGCCAGGGGAAGAGCATGGCAAGAGCCCTTCTGAGAGGCTGTGCTGCTGGAGGCGCTGTTTTGCTCAGTGCTGTTGGTATCCTTGGGCGAACGTGATGTTGGGCTGGTCCTCCCTTGCAGTAGGTAGGTTTGAACAGGGGCGTGCTGACTTCTCTGCTGGCTCCCATGGATGTTTCCACTGGGTTGTGATCAACACCTGCACAGTGACACAACCAGGCCCCGTTCCTGCCCGGCTGTTTGGCTTCGCTCTTGCTTCCCAAGTGGGTGTGAGCGTGTTGTTAATTCTGTGAGCCAACATTTTCCTGGTTGCAGCACAAAACAGGTTATTTCAGTTGTGTAGGATGAGGGGTTTGGGCACGTTCGCGATGGCCGGCTGAACAACCGGGGCCTGGGCTGCCTGGGGGTGGAGAAGCTTTGGTCTTGTGGCTGTGTTGTGCGGCGGTTGAGACCACGCTGAGCGTTGCAGCATTGGGCTGTGGTTGCACTGTGCGTGGGCTGCCTGTGTTAAGACTGGGCAGATTTAATGATCACACATATTGGGAGCTGGGTGTGCAACAGTGTTGTGCAGTTGCAGTGTGGCATGTAACGTGCAGCAGAACCATGATTGTTTCCCAATTATTTGGAGGGCCAGTTGTGGTTGGGTCACCCATGGTGCGGTAGCTCAGCAGCTGTAGTAGTAATGACTGTTACATATGGTGGCTGTGGCTGTGCTGTGTGTGCCTTGATGGCTACCGTTATGCCAGGCAGTGTGTAACTATGACAGCATCACGCGTTGTGCGAAGGGGATGGTTTGAGGCGATGTGTTTGTGCGCAGTGATTTTGTACCAGAGGATTGGAGTAGCAACAGATGTGGTGGCCGGAGATAAAGTAACCATGGGGACAGTTGTGGTGGGGTGTAATTGCGTTCTCATGGTGATGATGATGGTTGTGATGGTGATGGTTGGGTTTGGTTGTGATCACATGATAGTAATGATCATGTGATGGTGACAGTTGGGGCCAGCTGTGATTTCATTGATGGTGATGGTCGGATTTGTGGTCGAGCTGCAATGGCAATGGTTGGGGCTGATTGTGATCATGTTGCAGTGGTGACCGTTGGGTTTGGTTGTGGTTATGTTGCAACGGTGATCACGCCGCAAAGGAGGCAGTTGGGCTAGGCAGTGGCAGGTGGGCCGTGACCACCCCACTCAGCTGCGCTGACTGGACTTACCTTCCCCAGGCTCTGACTACGACTGCTATTCGGTGAACGGCGACGTGGAGTGCGACCCCCAGAGCGAGTTCGACAAGTCCTCCACCATCCCACGCAACAGCAACATTGCCCAGAACTACCGACGCATGATCCAGACCAAGCGTCCCGCGTCTACTGCCGGGCTGCCTACGGGCACCAACCTGCCAGCTGGCACCACACCGGGGGTTGCCACCATCCGCCGCACACCTTCCACCAAGCCCTCGGTCCGCCGCACTCTCTCCAACGCAGGCCCCATCCCCATCCGGCCCCCCATTGTCCCTGTGAAGACTCCCACGGTGCCCGACTCCCCCAGCTACACCGGCCCCACGCGAGTGGGCAGCGAAGAGTGCGTGTTTTACGCTGACGATGGCTCGCCAAACACCATGGATTTTGCCAAAGCTTCGCCTAAGCGGCTGAGCCTTCCCAACACCGCCTGGGGCAGCAATGTCATGGAGATCGCTGTGTACCCTGGTGCTGGCCAGCACCTCTCCGCCGAGGAAGAGGAGGACCAGCAGTTGGCAGCCAACCGGCACAGCTTGGTGGAGAAGATTGGCGAGTTGGTGGCCAGTGCCCATGCCCTGGGTGAAGGCCAATTTCCCTTCCCTACGGCACTTTCGGGCCCCGGCCCTGGCGAGGAGACACCTACTCCACCCCCGGCGGCCTCCATGGACCCCCCGGCCGAAGACATGCTGGTGGCCATCCGGCGTGGGGTGCGCCTGCGGAGGACCATCACCAACGACAGATCGGCCCCACGGATATTGTGATGAAGCTCCCGGTCCCTCCCGGCCCCGTCCCGCACCATGCCGTGCCGTGCCATGCCGTCCCACCGCCCTGCTCCCCACGTCCCTGGGAGATCGACGCAGCGCCCCGAGGAGGAGAGACGCCGTCGGGAACCGCAGCGCCGAAGCCACTTTTCGGAGGTAGAGGCAGAGCCTGGATTTACACGGAAACTGAAAGCCTTCGCTAGCAAACTCGCAAGGACGCAGCCTAGGCGCTGAACTGGGTTTGGAGCCCGTTTTATACTTTGTTCCTCGCCCCTCCCGCTCGCCCGCAGCCTCCCCGGTGCTCTTCGCGGCCTCTGGCCAGCCGCTGGTCCCCAGTGGCGAGGGCGCGGAGCCCAAACGCGCTGGGGTCACCGGCCTCTCTCCCTGTGAGCCCCCCCGGCCCCCAGCAAGGCGCTGACGGCCCTGCGGGCATCGCACAGCCTCCTCGCGCTCCCTCTTGCTCCTGGCAGGGGCTGGCTGTCGTCTGCCTTTCCTTCCTTCCTTCCTTTGCTCTTTCTCCCTTTCCTTCTTTCTCTTTATCTTTTCCTTCTTTCCTTCTTCCTTCCCTCCTTTCTTTCTTTCTAGTCTTGTGTGCTTGATCCTTTGTTTTCTCTTCCTTTCTTTCACTTTCGTTTGCTTTCTTGCTTTTTCTCTTGCTCTTGCTTTCTCTTGCTCTCTTGCTCTTGCTCTTTCTCTTGCTCTCTTGCCCTCTTTCTCTTGTATTTTTTTGCTTTTTCTCTCGCTTTCTCTTGCTTGCTTTCTCTTGCTCTTTCTTTCACTTTCTCTTGCTTTTGTTTTCTCTTGCTCACTTTCTGTTTCTTGTGCTTTCTTGTGCTTTCTTTCACTTCTTTCTTTTTCTTTGTCACTCTTTCACATTTCTTTCGTTTTCTTTGGCTCTTTTTGCTCTTTCACTTTCGCAGCGTCTCTTTTTGCTCTTCCATTCTTTCATTTTTGTCTTTCTTTGCTTCTCTTTTGCTCTTGCTTTCTTTTTCTTCTTTTTCCCTTTCTTTCTTGCTCTTTCTCGCTCCTTTCTTTCTCTTTCTCTCCTCCTCCTCCTCTTTCTTTTTTTCTCTTTCTCCTTCTCTCTCTTCCTTGCACTTTCTCTTTCCCCCTTGCCCCCTGGCCGCCTCCCCCGGCGGCGTGGGCGGGTTTCCCCGGCTCGGAGGGGCGGCACGGCGGGGCCGGGGCCGGGAGCGGGCGGCG